TAACCAAGGAAAAACCCTTTGGTGCTGAAGTCTGACTGCCACAAGAAGCCGCCGAGTGCACATAAACAGCCGTATGCCGCCAGCTGAGCGTTGCGAACCATGAAACTACGTTCTGATGACTTCAGGACAGCTTCCATATAGACACCAGCGAAAGCGCTACAGCAACCAGCCACCAGCATGGCGACAATTCCGAAGGCCCTATCTTTGCCTGCGTCACTGCTGTTGACATCGCTCAATGACGACGGTAGAGAACCGACCTGTACCATGACTATTCCTGCTGCCATGATAACCAGGCACAGCCATTGATGAGGGTGCAGTGTCTGTTTCAGGAGGGTTTTGCTGAAGATAGGTGTCAGGATGAGCTTGACTTGCGACAGCATCAGGTACGGCAGAATGCTGAGGTGGTAAGCCCCAAAACTCTGGCTGGTGGCCGAGAGCGTGTACAGGAAAGCCGGTATGGCAGCATTGTCATGGCCGCTCCGCACGTAATCTAAAAACCCGGAAGCAACTGCCGAGCGGTCTTCAGTATTGTTGTAAGCCCAAGCAGCACCGCCGAGGGAGATGAACAACTTCAAAGCCTCGGAAAGGACAACAGCACTGAGAGGCTCATACCGAGCGGAATTGCCCTGCGGGCGGCTCTGCACCTTGTGCTGCAACTAATTATCGATCTCCATCAGTCATGTTCTAGTTGTCCATGATTGAACTGCAAGTTAGGCGCAGTCAAAGGCTGTCAACTCACCAATATGCTGGCCGCATTTTGACAGACGAGCTCCAAACGTTCTGTCAGATCTTGTCCTCGCCAACAGGCAATGGGGTATGGAAACTTACCATCGCAAGAACAACGCCAGCCGTGATTCGAGCGTATCGGCGACGCGCAAAGTTGTTTGGCGCCATAGCACCAGTATCCTCCGTTTCTTCGAATACGCGGTGATCTTATGTGTTTTCCACCGTGATTGTGGCCATTCTGCTGTTCTTCATTTGGATACTGGCAGCAACTTTCCTACCGCGTTCACCGCGCCGGAACCACTATCCGAAAGTTGCGGTAGCTCAGGGACATAGCGGGGGCCGACTCTTTCGTGTTGTTGACTCGGTAATCCGTGATTCATATTGACTCACTCTCCACTTCATAACTTTAAGCCAGGGGGACCCATCTCACGCCAAAATGGCGACAGTTAAGCCAGCCCAGAAAGGGTGCTGGCAGTTATGCAACATTTGGTACCGGGAGTTGAGGCCGACGTACACAATCGATACAATATTTTTAATGGATTCAACATCAACCCAATCAAGTTGTTAGCCCTTAAGAAAGCTACGGCATTGATCAACTAGCACGTTTCTTTCGAATCACGATGGCCTAAATACACTGACAGCTACCGTCCTGATGGCTTGGTTTCGGTCTCAGTCCCGGGCACTCCGCGTCAATGATAGATTTGCGCTAGCAACCACCCTTGTCGCCCCCCAAGAACCCCCAAGAGACTAAGACTGTCATTCATCCCTAAACGGGTGCGCGTCCCACCCGTCTGACATTTGGGCCATTGGATACGAGGTCTTTCGCGCCAGGAAGCCCTGCCTCAACCGCAGTGCTTCACGGTGAAGATTTACTTTTCCGAGGTCAGCGGGAAATCGTCCCTCATGCCGTTAGCCTCCTTTCTTGAAGAGGAGGGGCATCGCTGCAGCCTGCACCAGGCTCAAGTAAGGAGGGTGGTATCCTAGGCCATGGAACTGTTCCTTTGGCGCAGGTTAAGGTTTTCGTAACTTTTCCCCTGATTCAACTTCTCTGTTCATGGACGTTGATTGAGAAACGGTAATCAAATCCCTACCTGAGTCTCTATCCTTCTGTGGTATCAAGTGGGCTGTCAACTCAATCCATCTTCCACCTCGTCGTCGATCATGTTCATATCGACGAAGCGCGCCGTTGCGCTGACTTGCGGCATTTTTGTCTTCGTTCTTTTGACGGGCTATCAGTCGATCAAGTACAATTTCATACCAAACCCTCTACAAAATGTCCTAAAGAATGGCACATTCAATAGCTCGGGCTCGCTTGCAGAGCTGAAGCCATTCTGGACTACCGAACAGCTAGAACCTCGATTTGCCTATGTTCAGTATGCGACGGACATTCACTACCTGTGTAATGCAGTATGTCTGCCCCATGGCTTTCTAGGTGGCGGCGTGATACACGGGTGACCTCTTGCTAATGCGAGACAATTAGGTGATTAACTTCAATCGCCTGCACCGCTTCGGCGCAAAACACGACCAGGTCCTGATCTTTCCCAAAACTTGGGTGGAAGGGGATTCAAAGGAGGCCAAAGCTATCCAGACCATCCAAAAGGCTCTACCGGACCTCGTCCTGCGGCCCTTTGGTCTCCTCACAACACACAAGGGAGAGGCAACATGGTCCAAGAGCCTGACCAAGTTCCACGCCTTCGATCTTACAGATTACACACGAGTGTTAGCCTTCGATTCCGATTCGCAGGTCTTGAACAACATGGATCACTATTTTCTGGCCCCAATGGCAGCCGTCGCCGTCCCCCGCGCCTACTGGCTGAACGAGAAGGATACGCCCGTCGTCAAGCAAGTCCTTGGCTCCCATGTCATGCTCATCGAGCCCAATAAGTCGCGGTATGACAAAATTGTGAGCGAGGCGCTCAAGTCCGGGGATTTCGACATGGAGGTCATGAATCACATGTTCAAGGACTCGGCCATGATCCTCCCGCATCGTCGACTTGCACTTTTAACCGGCGAATTCCGAGCCAAGGAGCACCAGAAATACCTTGCGCCCGACGACGACGAGGAATGGAACGCCATGGCCGAGGTATCAAGAGCCTATCTGGTCCACTTCAGCGATTGGCCGTTGCCAAAGCCGTGGCTCTCCCGTTCGGATGCGCAATGGAAAGCTGCCTTGCCGGACTGCCCCGACGACGAAGAAGACAAGCCTGATCGACCCCGGTGCGCTGATCGGGTTATGTGGGAGGGATTTTATGAAGATTACGAAAATGACAAGAAGAGATACTGCAAGTCTTGGTTATGATCGCGGCACACATACCGGTACAGAGTATCATAATTCAGAAACTTGCGTCTCAGCCGAGTTATAAACGATCTCGTGTGTTTCGGCCAAGGACAACAACGCCGACGATTGAACGCCTCGGAAAACTCCTCAGGGCTACCTCAGAGCGCTTTTAGCCATGGCATATAATCCACTCGTGAAGCATTGCTAGCGGGCGGGCCGCGGCATCCGGTCCTTCCGACTTATCCGGCACATACGGCGCAGAAGCGGCTCGGGCATGCCGAGCTCCATGATCACTTACTATCAGAGGCTCCACGACGGGCGAAAGGGTGGTCAACTGGGCCGTGCCAGCCAGCTCTCACAGTCTTTCCGCCTGATGGTCGGAGAACAAAAGGAAACAGGCATGTCGGCTTGCCAGATATTGCGAGGATATATACCCATGCTCGGCATTCCATTCCAGCTGGCAAACGTTGCTCGTAGGCTCCAATTTGCCAATTTGGCTGCCATTAGGACTTCTTCCAGCAAAACACGGCAAAGACTGTAATCAGTTAGGATGCCGCGAGAGTCTAAGCGGTGGATGCGCCGACGGGAGCTCCTAGCAAGGATTTGTCTCCTGAGAAAGCTGAAATAAGTAGTCTTGGCAGGAAAATAGAAACCCTCAATAGATATAGAAAAACATAACTGACTATTTACCACAATCAAGCGAGCATCGTTCGCGTACTCTTGTGCTCATCGTCCGAGGCGTGCCGCGATGCCCTGATATGCGACCTTCAGACCCCATGTTGTATTCAGCGACACTTAATGCCGGTACATGAGCTTTCTCGAACACGTGCCTCTTTTAAGGTATTTAGGCATTGCGCTACGCCCCAGACTTCTGTCATCAGATTCTCTTCTACCGTTTTACACGATAGCATGTCGACAATCAAAAGTTCTGCATGGCTTGACAGCTCGACGTCTTATTCGGCTCTATGGTGCTCTTTCGGCCGTGTCTCTATTGGAACCGATAGTTGCCAAGTCCTAGTGTTGGAGACGCAGAGTCCAGATGATTGAGAGAGGATTTCAATGAGCAGTCCGTTTTCTCTGGCAAACTGCATTATTGTTCCTTTAGCCGGTATTCAGGGATCTTGCCATTGGAGCCTAAGTTTGGATTGCAAACCTCAGAACTTACCGGAAAAGGTTGGATGTACCGAGGGAGCGATAACAGCTATGAAACCAATACCAAGCTCTAGGCTGACCTAAAGCTTAATTGTAATGTCGAGCGCTCCGAATTTGAAGTGATTGTAGGTCGTATGATCGCAGCTGTTATGGAGTAGAAAGCACAGCAAACAAGACTGATGATGAGTATCCTTTCTGGGCATTCGCATCATTCCAAAACTGGAATCGGCAAACTCGAAACTGGTATGCCAGTCATCACATCTGAGAATATGTCACTAAGCTAGGAGGTACTGGTCAACAAATAACTCTAACAGTCTGAAGAATGCGTAACTAGGAAGTTCAGGGTTTTATAGAGACGTCGATCATTGTGGGAAAGGTCGTACAGTCTCAGGTAGTTGGTACGGTACACAAGTTGAGACTGTTGTTTGATGCGAGTGATTTCAAAACCTGGATTCACTCGGTGAGTTTGCGAGAGTCTCAAAAATGGAATAATGAAGACAAGCTTCGTCTTCTAACCCACTTCAGCTTGCTATATGGGGGTTGATTTCTCAGACTTAAAGACCAAGGCTAGGGAAACCCTCTTGACAGCCACGACATAATGATGGACGGGAGTAAATGAGTTTGTGAGTCAATATTCTATAGCTAAGGAGAATATCGGTGAAGTGACAGGGTAGAGGCTTTGAGCTCTGTTTAGTAAGACTTCACGAAGCTGATCCACTCGAAGATTTCTCGTATCGATTCCGGCTCAGTCTTTCTCTGCTCCCCTCAGAACCCCTACAACATATGGAAGGCTAAAAGTTGTCGGACTTCTCAATCCAACTAAGCCCACTCATTGAGTAAACGCTTAGTTGCAAGTAGGGTTGTAGGTAATAGCGGGGTCATATGACACGCAGCGGTTATTGCCGCAGATGGGAATATAGTTGCAGCTGGTCAACGAGCCACAGCAGTCGTCGTTGCATCTGGCATAGAGTCCTGTGCATCTCTCTACAATTTCATAGCTTGATTAGGGACAGATATACAACACGAAGGGCGCCGTGTATTTACTAACTTTCAATGGCAAAGAGTGCACCGGCGTCAGCGTTGGGGGAGGATGGCACTGCAGCAGCCAGAGAGGCAAGGCCGAAAATGGCGATTTTCAGAGTCGCATGCATCTTGATTGAAAAGTGTCTTGGTCGTAAAGAGTGTTGGAGGTGTCGAACTGAAGGTAAGTAATTTGTCAATTATTGTCTGATGAGGGAAATCATGCATGATGGTCAAAGGCGTCAAGGCTAGTCTTTATAAAGACTGCTGAAAGGCTGTAAAGTGTCGGAGTAGATACAGTCATTCGTATTGTTTGTATCGCTTCGTACGTCGTACAATGTTGATGTTCTCCCCCTGGAACCCACATAGTAAGGTTTTGCGGTCATCCGCGGGATGGATTATTGATATTCAGTTTTCCCGGAAATTGCAGATATTATCTCGGCTAGTCAGATGTATACAAGAAGAGGCTTCGGTTGTGGTCAGTTGCGTGGGTCGCCCATACAATAGAGTGCTCACTCCTCTCCCCATACTACTCTACATCTGCAGTGTCCTCCAGAACATAGCTCGCCCAGCCGCGGATATGGTGCTTGGGGCAAGTATGCAGAGTCATCCCGCCGGTTTATGGGGACACTAAGGGTCGGAGGTGATTAAGTAAACGGATACTCCGTACTGTTTACTTTCCAGTGTGTTTAAAATGGACTATTCATGTTGAGTTGTTTGCTATTTCAGGGCATCGCAATAGGCGCAGACTTGTCACCCATGCGCATGTCTCCTTTCTCCTACGGGGTTTTAAAAGCCCATTCTTTATGCGTTCTGATTGCAAAGCAACTGAGAGGGAAGGCCAGGAAAAGCGGGAGTCAAGACCCAATCTAAAGCTGGAACAAGCGTATGTCAATTGTCAAGACACGATGAGAACTTGGGAGGTGGGCCGAAGGCTTTGGCTACGGACTTGCGCAACATGCCTTTGTCTCCCAATCTTGCCAATATCGATTGAGAGAATTCATATTTTGTCAAAGCCAGTCTAAATTCCATCGCCATTGGGCGTCATCAGATAGAACATGCCACGATCCTCACGGAATTCGAAGTTGAAACACTTGCAGCCCAATCTTTGGATGACGATCCCACGTCTGTTTCAATTTCGAGGACTCAAGTGGTTTAATTATCCGAAGTAAGACAGAGGAATCGGAAGATGAAAGAAGCCCGGGGGCCGACCAGATTAACACAACTTGTAGAATCCAAACAATCGGCTCGTCGCGACGCGATCTAAGCCGGCGTGCACACACACGGTTTCGGTACCGGAGCGGCGATCGCAGAGAACAGCAGAGTTTCAGAAGTCTGGTCAGCTGTGTTGATGAGTCAGTGAAACATAGTTATCCGGCGAGATCCGGCTCCAACTCACAACAGCGCAAATTGCGGCATGTCGCACTGGTCTGGAGGAGAGAGGAACAATCCTCGGACTGGGATCCAAGCTAGGGATGCCATTTGCTGAGAATCTCCACACGCGGGTGCGTTTTGCAGCGTCTCGCAGAAAAAGAATTGAAGAATCCGTAGGCTCTGTCGTTGAATTTGAGTCGTCCGAGTAGTTTTTGGTTCCCGGGAAGGCAGCAAATATGGCCTTGATTCCACCGGTTACCGCCGTCCTATCGGCCGTGTGGGGACCCGAGAAGTGTCCGAAGTCGCATGGCGCCGATGGCGCAATATGTCGCCATACCTGAGCCCCAGCGCCGGGCGAGCCTGCATCCTCTTATCGGCAATTTTTGTTTCCCTGTCAAAGAGCTTTTCCTCAGATGCCCATTGACTGACTGATATGGGAAATGGAAAACATTGGGTATGATGCCGGGCTTGATTGGCCAATACACGGCGTTGCCTTCCTCCCCAGTGCATGGGAAACTCCGAGTGCCACACCGGACGCATGGCATGGTTGTCCACTGCGGATCTGAAAAGGTTCATCCCGGCTGCATCAGAGTTTTGAAGAGCCGATGACACCTTCCTTTTCTTCCATCTGCTGGCTTGCGGCTCTGTGATTCTCTCCTCCACACAACCAAATCGATCAGCATGACGCGCTCAAAGACATTACAAAGTGGTGAAGGAACACAGAGGGTAGTTGACGAGAGGTCGCCTTTGTTGTCGAGTACTCGACGGGGGTCGAGTTCGTCAGGTGAGAGCTCTTTGACTTCCTCGTCGTCTAGCGCAGACTCGGACGGCCAATACCTTCCATGGCATCTCACACGGCCGTCAGAAGTCGTCGATTCGAGCGTCGATGTCGAACAAGTAGCACCCGTTGCAACCGCCAGCGATGATGCAAAGCTACAAGCCAGAAAGACCTCGACTTGGGCAGTTGTCAAGATCGTGTCTATCCTGCTGGTTGGAACTTTTACTGCGAACGCCGATGGCTCTTTGGTGATGGCAACGCACCCAACGATTGCCTCTGAATTCGATGATCTCGAAAACTCCAGTTGGCTCTTCGTATCTTTCGCGTTGGCAGGAGCGGCAACTCAGACTTTGGTTCGTCATCCTTCCCTACCTAGTTCAAGTGAGTCCATTCACTAATACGGCGGAAAGTATGGCAAGCTCAGTGACATTTACGGGCGGCGTGCCCTCCTCATGGTGGCTTATACCTTGTTTTCCGTTGGGTGGTAGGTTTGATCAAGGTTATCCGTATGATTGTCAACTGACTGTTCACAGCGCAATGGTCGGCGTCGGTCGCACAATGTGGCAAGTCGTGCTTGGACGGGTCATTTCAGGATCTGGTGGCTCAGCATTGAACGTCCTCGGGCTGCTCTTGGTGACAGGTAAAATACGATAGAGGACCCTTGATGGAAGGACTGAGCTAACCTTGATAGATCTCGTCCCACTCCGTGACGTGGCTGCGTGGCAAGCAGGTATCAACCTGGCCGCAACAGTAGGACGAAGTCTTGGTGGACCTGTGGGAGGTTGGCTAGCCGATACCATTGGATGGCGATGGTCTTTCCTCGGCCAGGCACCCATTTTCCTACTTGCTGTCTTGCTGTGTTGGTTTTTCCTGCCAAAAGGCAAGCAAGTGGGCAAGAGTGATGAAGGTGTTGAAGCAAGCGGCAAGCCCATCAACGGCAAAAAGAGCTCTCTAGCGAGGATCGACTTTCTTGGCGCTGCTTTATTGGCACTCTTCATCTTGACCTTTCTCCTCCCGATTGAGATTGGAGGTACCAAGATACCTTGGAGCCACCCGCTCATCTTCGTTCTCTTTGGCGTAGCTGTCGTGTTTGGTGGACTCTTTGCCGCCGTTGAGGAGTGGTGGGCTAAAGAGCCAATCTTTCCCCTGGAACTGTTGAAGCATCGCGACATTATCTTGACGTACGTCATTAGCGGTGGGCAAGTCGCAGCTCAACTCGGCCTCATGTTCTCCGTCCCGCTCTATTTCCAGGTGACACAGCGTGTCTCTAACACTGTTGCTGGAATACATCTCTTCCCCGCTGTCTTTGGGAATGCCATCGGTGGCGTCCTTGCTGGATATCTGATCAGAAAGTTTGTCAATCCCGAAGATGCAAGTTGTTTGGAGCGACATGCTGACTTGCACAGAACCGGTCGTTACAAATCTCTATTGATAATTGCGACGATCGCATCGATGTTCTCCTACTCGCTTTTGCTGCTTCGGTGGCATGGAGATACAAATGCTTGGGAGTCGCTTTACATCGTACCTGGTGGGTTTGGGGCTGGCCTGGTACAGTCGGCGGGTTTCATCAGCATTCAAGCCGCAGCCAACCCCAAGCACAAGGCCGCAGTGACGTCGGGAATGTTTTTGACATTCCAAATCGGCATGATCCTCGGCCTGTCATGTGTTAGTGCCGTCATGATGGAAACGATGAGATGGCGGCTAGACGCATTGCTGGAAGGCATGGACCTCAGCGCAGTTGTGCGAAAGCAGGTAAGCAGAGAGGCCAGTCGATGATTCTCTCAAGCCGTCGCGGACACTCACATGAATTGGGGTAGATTATCGCAAAAGCGACATCGAGTGTTGACTACATCGATCATGCGGATGAAAAGGTTTCAGCAGCCATCGTGCAGGCGTACGTCGAAGGTTTGGGATTTAGCCACGGTTTCTCACTCATCTCATCAGCGCTGGCACTAATCGCGGCTATTTTCGTAAGAGAGCATAAGTTGTGATGTAGAGCATTGGCGGAGCATCGATTGCTCATGTAGAGCCATGAAATTTCCTGGTCTGCGTACCTAGAGAGTCAAGGTAGACTCTGGCGACATTGTATGTTGGTATAGAATTTGAGTAGAAGAGAGGAAGAGCTGGGTTTGAAATGACATTGGATCCTGTGAGGATGCAACTCCAGGTGCACAGTTGACTAGAAGCTTTTACACCATGTCCCAACACTGTGTGTCCCTTGATAAGTGGGCCGTGCACAACACGTTTTTGTGGCCGGAGTATCTCGGTGAATTCTGAGCGGCACCTCGTCTCATCAAACAACCGCCGCGGCAGCATTGAGGAAGACCTTTTTTACCAGAATATAACCAGCCATACCGTCTTCCAAGTACCTAACCAGTGAAGAAGGAACCGGCGATACTCCTACAAAAGTTTGAAATTCAGAGGAAGCACTGCAGTCTACATCAGTTCAGCCACTGATACCTGGGGCCCCTTCGTTTGCCATTCCGACCTCGCCGTTGCCTCATCACCACTACCTCCAGGTGCCGTTATAACTACCGACATCATCATACCAGAATTTCTCCCTCAGGACATATGATATTCGTTACGTATAGGAATCCGCAATCATGCCGCCCAGGCGTTTGCGTCTCGACTTCTCCGCCGCTGAGCTACACGCCTTGGGGATAACACCCGACATGGACCCTCGCACGTTAGTAGAAGTGCTCCAGAGACTCCACCAGAGACTACAAACCAGCGTCCAAGAGGCTTCAGTACAACCACGGGAAGAGCAAAAGAATCCCTGTCATAACTGTCTTGACCGCTATCACAAGACGAAACATTGCCCGTTACCCTGCGGCCACTGCGGCCAGGCATGGCACAACGTCGCCGCCTGCACTAGCTCCAAGCGCAATCGTTGCCGCTGCAGCCCCTTTCCCCAACGACACCTCGCCAAGCAATGCCCCAAAATGTGTACGCCGGGCGAATGTCCCACCTTTCATATGGGCGATGGGATCACAGCCATGATGTGCAAAGCCCGCTGCTGCATGTGTGGTATCCCGGACCATGCCGGTCGCGATTGTCACCTCAAGAAGTGCCGCTGCGGAGGGCAGCACTTGACAGTCGACCACATGCCTATGGATCGACAGTGCGTCGTGGTGAGCTGCCCGCGATGGTTCTGTGCCAAGCATTGCCAGGCCTGCGAGGCCGAGCTGGAGAAGCTCAACGATGAGGTATGCCAGAGCTGCGGCTCCAAGCAGGAGATTCGTCCATCTGTGCCGCGGTCGCACCAATGGGCGAGTCCTGATTTTGAATATGTGGATGCAGCGTTGGCATGGGGCAACAGCAAGTATGGCAAGGCTATATTTGGTAAAGATGTCGCATTTTGAAATCAGTATTAGGAGGAAATCCCGGGCGCCAAAGAAGCACAACGTGGCTTACGATAGAGAGCCTCAAGTTGTCACGACCAGCATTTCAAGCACAGTTTATGACTTCGCTGCGCTTGAATAGTGGAGCTATACAACCTATTAGGCTACATATATCATCGAATAGACCCTTGCTATTACTAAACTCGAAGATCTCGAGCTGGAAACTACCTTTGCAAATCTAGACCCGAGGTAATGTTGGGGTCCTGTCAAGAATGCCGCATGTATGGTGGATGGTATCACGCGACGAAATCATCCTTTCAACTCCCCGCCAAAAAGCAGACCTGCCCAGATGTGTGTAAAGAACCTAGCAAAACGCCCTCCATGACCATTAAAGTACTCTCTTTCAGTCATCCTCCCAGCCGCATCCATCGTCATCCACCTCGACCTTGGTGCCAAGAGCCTCCCTGCCTTGGCGAATCATCTCCTTGAGCCTCTGGTTGAAATCATTAATCCTCGCATCGGTGTCATGTTCATCTTTGATTCGTCTGGCTGCCAACTTCTTGGCTTCCACGTCGAGCCGAGGGCTCGCGCGGATGGAGTCCACCCCGAATTCCTTGAGTTTACCGCGAGGTGATGCTGCTGAGGCACTGCTATTGGAGCGGCGATGCGAGCGTATGGGTGGGCTCATTAAAGATTGTGCCGGTGACGGAATGGCACTCTGACGCCGGGCCGAGACGGTCGTCTTCGCGAACGGGTTTGGGCTCGAGCCGGCAGACTGCATTGGAAGTGGGATTCGGCTCGGCGAGGGCCCGGTCAAGGTCCTCGGCGGCTCCGGAGACCTCACACTAGCGAAGCTTGCTGGTTCCTGATATGACAGTGGTGCGGTGTCCGGAGCATTGTATTCGTGGCTAGCCGTAGATTGGCGGCGGTTGTGGATCGGGATCGAGCTGAGACGAGGCTTGGGAACACTAATCCTCCGGCCTGTGACTAGGGAAGGGCGCATGTTGCGGGATGCTGGTCGCATCGATGCCCTCGAAACTGGCCTATTGCCTGGCGCTGACTCGTCCACCACAACCCAGTTTCGCAACTCATCATGATTCCCAGCACTCGTCTGTCGGCGTTTTACGGCGGGTCGCGAAGGTGTGGCCTCGACCTCGACCCCAACCTCGGGTTCGGGGTTCAGGGCCTGGTCTGGCTCCCGGGCATACGATGTGAAGAGGGGCTGAGGGAATCCTCCGGGCGGCGTGGTATCTCCAACGGGGGTATCCAAGTTTTGGGGACTTTGCTGTTGTCTCCATTCGTATTTTTCGTTGAACTTCTCGGATGGTTCTAGCTGGGGCGCAGACAAAGTTGAGGTAGCAGCTGAAGAGGGACGGATGCTCTGGCCATCAATGGTATAAGCCTTGCCACCCCCAGCAGAGAAGCCAATGAAGGCCCCAGCCTTGCAGAATTCCCAGACTTTGCCTACGACCCCACCAATAGTGTTGAACGCAAAGCGACTCCAGCCGCCGGCGACTGGATGGCTAGGCTGGACCAGTACAGTCGGCTGGCCTGGAATAGGCGATTCCATCTCTTCGTGTGGTCGTTTTGATCCCAAGGCTCTTCGATAATCGCCGTCTGAGTACATGCTCTCATCCAAGTTACCGTTGTCGTAAGGCGTGTTGACGCCGGCACCAGGTGTCTCGAGCTGGCCAGCCAGCGTGTATCGGGCTTCTCGGATCGGTAGAGGTGTCTCGTGTTTAGGGAGTTCGCTCGAGCTGTCTAGATTCATGTTGCCATCGTTCCATTCATTCAACGGAGTAGCTTCGCGGGAGGCATTGTTGCGCCGTTTCCTTTTTGCCTGAGCTGAAGGTGTATTTGCTTCGGCGTGGTAGCTATTTGCTCTGGCGAAACAGTAGGAAGAACCGGCGGAGGGGGAAGTGGGTGGTCGGAAGACGCCAGGGTGAACTCCGGCGGGTTGTGCGTCAAAGTAGGTACCGGGCATTCGGTACTGGGATGTGAAGGCCATGGTGTAGGTCGGTACAGGCGTCGGAGGCCAGGGCGACGGAACAAGGGATCTCGAAGGGCTCACGGGTGAGGCAGGGTAAGGAGTTGCGGGAACCACGGCAAGGGGTCGGGTGGAAGCGGTGACTGTTGTGGTGTTTGTGTGGTGATTCACAATGTCGCAAAGCCTAAACGAAAGCTCATGATCGATCCGGAAGCTAAATCCCAGGCCTGAATCTCGGGTGTCGGGTGGTGTGCAGAAGACGAGTCGTGGTGCGCTGGCTCGTTGGTTGTTCGTCGTGCAACAGGCCGTGCGATGGCTGGCAGCAGGCGAGCGCTGTCAGATGGGGGAAGGAAATGCTCGAAGATGAAGCGAAGAAGGATTCCCGTGTTGACAATGCGCGCGTGCTTACTCGGCCTATGCGTTGATGTGTCGGCAGGCAGCTGTGGTCGGGTTGGAGAAGAGCGGCGCGGTCAAGTTGTTTTTTGGGGGGGTCCCTGGGGCGAAATAGGTTGGGTGACCTGGAAAGTAGCAAGGAACAGCTATGGGCAACCAACAAGCTCGGTCCTGGCGTTGGGGAGAGCTTCGAGTGCCGGCAACAGCCGTTGATGATGAGTGTCTTGATTGGATGTCGAGCGTGTGTCGGTCGGTTGGTCTAGACCCTGAGAAAAAGTGACGGCGCTCAGGGTGACGTCGAGTTTGTCATGCGCTTCTTTGGAAGAACGCAAGGGAAAGGAAGGTATCAAGGGAATAGGTAGGTACCGAAAGTCTGGAGATGTGCTGTATAAGGTAGAAATGGTTAGCCTGTACTTGTAGGTACGGATACTCCGTATCGGAATAAAAACCAACGTCGATCGATGCAGATGGTAAAAAGAAAAGAAGACGCGATGAAGGGAAGGCACACCGACAGCACAATAATTGTACGGAGTATCGGCCTGAATGTATGCGTATCCGCCGCCAGTCCCTGAATCAAAAGTTGACACTAAAACTCAGACGAGGCGAAGAGGGATGGGAGGTTGGCAAGGAAGGATGTTGGGCAAGGGGGTTTATGGAGGTGCACCCGTTTTTTCTTTCTTAATACAGTGAGCCTAACAGTATAGCTGCATATCGTGTCATCTTGTTCCGTTCGCTTTGCCTTTCCGCACCACCCGGTGATGCACGTCTGTCAGTGTCAAGCTGACATTAAAATTAATATTTCTCAGGGTCTCGCGACGGCTCCTTCAAGGTTCCCTGCACTGTACCTTTCCCCCGGAAAATCCCAGGGGAGGGAAAAAAAGCCAGCCTCTTTTTTTTTTTTTTTTTTTCTTTTGGTTAAGCGAAAGGACTTGTAGCTGTCTCAAAGAAGGAAGGCGCCATCGGTTGCTGGGGTGGTTGATCATCTGAAGGTCCAAGTGCGTGGCTCAGCAAGAATGTAAACAGAGGGGCAGCACAACAGGGCCTGCCGTCGGTATCGGGAAGTACTCACACCCGGGAACCTCACGCGTGACGCGCATACTCCTTAATTCATATTGATAAAATCATCATCGTTGGCCTAGCTTTTCTCTAAGATCTAGGTATCATCTATCATATGCTACATGCAACACCATGCAATGCAAGCAACTTGTGCCAGGACCCGTAACTCGATTTTCCCTCCGCGATTTCAGAGTCTGACCTTCGCAACGTAATGGCGTCTAGGTTCAGGGTAGCCAACACCGCTGGCAGGTTTCACAGTCCCACGTATCTGTACTCAAGTACGGAACCACTGTGCATAGCGCTCATCAATCAACTATTCGGCGCGTGCATCATTTGCGCTCATAGTAATCATCTTGCTGCTGCCGCCGGTCTTTCTGGACGCCGCCTTCGATACCATCCTCGCCGTGGACATGCTGCTGGGTGCCCCAGAAATGTTCGCGCTCCTTGAGCAGAGCGTCCGCCCATTCCTTGGTCTCGGGTAATGTGAACTTGGTCGCGACGTATGCAAATTCGCCCAAGTCAAGCTTGCCCTGGCCGCGCTTCTCATACTCCATCATCTGGAGAAGCAGCTCCATCTTGTCCAGATCGTGTACGTAGTGGCTGTTGAGGGTCTGGGAGTCCTCGTACTCTTGCCAGATCTCGCGAATCTCGGCACCTGGGATACCGCCGTAGACACTGCCAAGAAGGTTCTTGGTAATAAAGTCCATCGTCTCCGCCTCACGTCTGTTCTTCTCGGGCTTCGCCACGCCATCGACGGGTGTGATGTCTCCAACCAGAGACTCGGCCATGTCGTGTATCAGGCACATCTTCATGCAACGCGCGAGATCGAGACGGGGCGCAAGGGCAGGCGGGGCGAGCATTGATAAAAGGGACATGCGGTACATGTGGTCAGCGATAGATTCTCCTCTGTCAAGGCCCTTGCGTTAGCGAACATCGACATCTGTATACCTTGCGATGATTTGCGACGTGGGGTACCAACCTCGCGATGCCAAAACGGCGCCAACCCTCCCGCTTGGTTGTCTTGAGGCGCTCAATCAGATGGAAGTAAGGGAGCGGTGAGCCGGCGTCCGCAGGTCCTGCAGTGCCTGGAGAGATTTCAAGAGCCTTCTCAACGGTCCATGTTCCTTCAACTTTGGGGGTTTCGACGTGACCCAAATCTACGCAAAGGGTCAGCAAAGGATGGCAAGAGGACAGCCGCGTAGGCCCAGTGAACCTACTCTTGATGTCCACCTCGCCATTGGTGCTGGAGGCACTTTTGTTGCTGTGGGGAGCTGCGGAAGACATGATTGTGAAATCGCTCGGAGATGTGAAAGGAGCTTTATTGTATGTCTGTTCTCGTTTCGCGGAGGACGATTGCGACAGAACAGCTTTCTCGTGGAGCGGGGCAAAACACGCAGAGTGCAGGGAGAGAGTTGGTGGACGAAGCAAGGCAATTATCGCGGGGTCCGTTGCTGGCGCTAAAGTGACGGACTGAGCCCAATGCAAGATGACTGGTACTGGCGTGAAAGGACAAGAAGCGAAGAGAGACCGAAGGAACAGGCCTGACTGATATCAGGAAATGGAATGCGAAAGTTGGGAAAGCGCAACGGAGGGAAACAGAGAAAAAAACAGATGGCTAAAGCGCAGAAAGGGTTCTCTCCGTTCCTGCCTGAGTTTGCTTGTCTTTCGTCTTCCAAGGAAGGGACATCCCAGCTTTACCACCGTCACAGGCAGCTAGCTACCTACCTACCTTAGGTACGACTGCAAGCAACCGGCCGCCGCCTGCCTTATCGGCTCTTTCGCACTCACAGCCTGACAGACGGCAAGCGGCCCCGACCGAAATGGAAAGGAGCCAATCCGTCCACCTGCCCTTCCATGAAGCCCGGCCCCACCCACATTGTGCAACCATTCAGCGGCCCGCCATTTGCGATCCCTCCTTGACTGGCTTCTCATCTCAAGTTTCCAGATAAGACAAACATAAATGATGCACGACATCTTAAATTTGCGCAAAACCACTGCTTCGGCATCATGCTTTACCCTGATCGAATGCTAGCCATGCACTTCGTGTGGGCAACCGTCACTGTTATTCAAGCTGTACTGGATTACCTGTTTCTCCCGAGCTACTCAAACTACAAATTCACCTACAGATCATAGTCCGGAATGTCAATCGTACTGTTTGCTTCCAATGCATCCTTGATCGCTTGGCAAACAATCAGTGCACCAAGACCTGCCTGCGGCGAGCAGCTAGCTGACTCTTTGCCATGGATTACACGACAGAAATGCGCAAGCTGCAGCTCAAACGGAACCCCATCTTCTACCGACAGCTTCTCTCTCGCCATCTCCGAATGCCACGACTTATTCGTGCCCTTGTATGACCATATCGACAAGTCAGGTACGCTGAGTGATCCCTCGGAGCCAAATATCTGGTAAAAGTTCTGTCCCGTCTTGGGGATAAGAGGGTTCTCGCCTGTTCCCGCCTCAAAGTTGTAGGGTGATGGCACGTTGTCTGAGATAAGGAATGTCCCGACAACGCCTGATTTGAATCGAATCGTGAGCGCCGCACCTTCTTCGGCTTCATGACCTCTCTGCGAAGTCGTCTTTTCCGCATGGACTCTTGTAATCGGCCCGAAGAGATGATGAAGCAGGTCGATTTCGTGGATTGCATTGATCAAGACAACTCCTCCATCTTTTCCCTGCCTCCATTCGGTGGGAGCCTCGAAGTAATCGCCCGGCTTGTAGGTGGTCCAGAGTCCGTTAATGGCTATGATCTTGCCTAGAGCTCCCGAATCGAGTACCTTTTTTGTACTGATGATATAGGGATTGAAACGTCGATGATGGCCCACGAGTGTCTTGACCTCAGTGGTTTGGAGATGACTCAGTAGCTCGGTGCCACTCGGGATATCAGAGCTGATGGGCTTTTCGACGAGCACATGGACGCCTCCCGAGGAAAGCTGTTTCGAAACGGCGACGTGCGTGTGGTTTGGGGTGCAAACGATTGCAGCTTGAGGCACATGTACCGATTGCAAAAGGTCGCTGACTGATGTGAAGTGTGCTACATTCAACTCAGCTGCTAGTTGAGCCCCAGCGGGCGCGGGATCGACCACTGCAACAAGCTCTGCATCGGGGCTCTGAACGACTGTCCTAGCATGTCTCGGACCAATCAGACCGGTGCCGATAATGGCAAAAGAGATTATGCCTTGGTGGCTCGTCATGTTTGGACAACTGGTGATTGGTAATGACTTCGAATGTCCTACTCGCAAGTATGAAATGCGCACGATGCGAAGTCAAGTGGGCAAGGACGGAAACTTGGGTAGTGCTTCGAGTCAGAATTCACTCAAATGACCGGACGCAGGAGCCTTGCTCCACCCTAATTGTACGCTGAAATGGAGCAAACCTCAGTCTCTATATATCAGAGTCCGCGACATTGAATATCCGGCTTGATGCAGGAGCGGAACTGCGTTTACCCTGTGTCGGATATAAGTCCAGCTGAATTTCCAACTCCTGGCATACGGCAAAGATATCATGCGTGTGCGCCGAGAATGATTTCAGGCGTGCGGACAGGTGCTGGTACGAAAATCAGCTGGGCCCCATCCCCCGCATGGCGGACCTAAGCGTGGGATGGCTGAACCCCGCATTCCCTGGCCCATCGCGGGGGAGGACTTATGACAAGGCCGAAATCGGTCGTGACTCGTGATGAAGACCCAATTACCTGCTTCGATTCATCTACCAAATGCTCTACCTGAATTCGTCACGACGGAAGTCGGCGGCTTCAATAACTTCGGACACCAACGCCGCATCCCCTTTTGGCCCCTCACATTTATCCAGCGCCGTTTTGGCAAGTTGTATTCACAAATGGCTGATTCCCGTGTTGGAGGGCAAGAATAGGTAGACATGATGGATGCTGTGGCTCTTTCCAGCTCAATATGTTAAGAATGAATAGTTTTAGTTTCAGGATGAAAATCTCACAAGACGTGATACTACGAATAGGGAAGTTAAAACCAAAGCGACTACCGGGAAGAGTCTGGCAAGAATAGAAGGGAAGCATGTTCCAATCGCGGGCCGTGAAAATCTTACGAGTATCAAGACAAGCCCCAGAGCCTTCAACGAGGTAAGCAGCATTTGAACCAACTGTGGGCGGAGAAGTTACTTAAGATGCGGGGTCAACGGGAAGCGCTCCAACGGGGAGAGATCACCCGGCCTAGGTCCTGTCATGAGATCAACACTAAAATTTCCATCAGTGCCCGTCATGACCGAATGCTTTGTGACTCGAGTGACATGGTAGTGCTGTCAATGATACACTTCCTCGGGCCTTGTACGCATCGCGCGTCCCAGGATGCGCCTATACTTTCTCTCTCCCAAAGTCCTCTGATCTCCTCGAACGGTTCGGCTCGATAACATCCGAAGTTGTTAGGCAAGGTTTAGATTTGCTGGCTTCTCAGTTCCAGCTCGTGGACGACATATAGAGGAACAAAGTTTAGGCTGATGCCTTCGAATGACATTGCCAAGCTTGCCAGGCTTACTCTGCTATCGAGAGTAAATTAGACTGTACATACAATTGGACCCCCCCTCGCTAGTGCTCACAGTACTTCAATACTACCCCATCCCTCCATTTACCTCGTCCCGGAGGAACCAAACCAGAAAAGTAGTGTACCCCAGGGCGAGGGATGACGCACCCAACTGAAAGCACCAACCAATGTGAGGGGGAATTGTGGATCTGTGGGAGGCTCGCGCCTTGTTTACAACACAATGGACAAGGGGTTCACTCTTCCGATGGGATGAAGGATTGCCGTAACCTGTTGCTCGGGCTTTTAAGATGCACTCGTCGCATGTCGCATTCGAAAGAGGGGCGAGCAGAGCGCCGAGGGAGAGCGGTATAAGAGGATGGCTATAATCTCCTGGAAAAATGCCCATCTTCTCAGTCGATTGTTGTCCGAAGATTCCACTGGCTCAAAGCTCCGAACCCTCTTCTCGATATGCGGCGCATTGCTGCTCTACTTGTGGCATCGCTGCTACCACTTGCCGTCATCGCCGACTCAGACAAGGGAGATGACCAAAGCCCCAAGTTCTACAACTCAGCTCGCCATGCAGCCGCGGACCCTCACGTCTTTTACGACTCTGAAAAGGGCCAGTACTATGCGTATTCCACCGAGGGGGCTGATGAAGGATACCACTTTGCGATTTACATTAGCCCTGACCTTTCGACATGGAGCAAACATCCTGGAGGCGTCTTAAAAGCTTGTTACGATGATCAGATGAAACAGATTGATGGTGGTCAAGCTTGCTGGGCCCGAGATTGGTACTGGGCCCCCGAAACCTACTACAACGAGAAAACCGGATGGTACTTTTTCATTTTCGCTGGTCGTTTACGGGAAGACCTGGCCAAAGACCATTTTCGATATTCCAAGTTCGAAGAGCCTTCCAAGCTAGGAATCGCCGTCTCCCGCTCGCCTACAGGGCCTTTCAACGAGATTCGATCAGAGCCAATCGGCTACTACCCCTATGATCCGGATTATCACGACATTAACCTGGTCATGGATGATCAGCAAATGCTGCCGCCAGAAAGTCTGGCCCAAGGTGAAGCTGCGCCAAAGGGCACATACATACCTACCATAGATCCCAATATTTTCTTCAATAATGACGGCCGGATTTACTTGTACACCTCACGCAATGCCTACCGAAATTGGAATTGGGACAGTACTCTGGGCAAATATATCGAAGAATCCAACATCATTGTGGTTGAGCTGGACCGGGAATGGTGGGATGACCCGTTTGCACGAACCATGCCTGAGATTGCGTCTTCTCAAATAAACCTAAACGCGAACAATGCTCCCGAATTGCCGTCGAACATCACCTCCTACAACGGCACTGGCGAGATTGGAGATCCTCCCCGCAAAGACGGTTGGAAGACAGTTATCTCCTACGGCGCTGATCCGCAAGATTGGGAGAATTACCACGTGGATGATTATGTCAAGTTCAATGGCACGAAGAAGAACCGCCGCTGGTCGGAAGGTAGCACGGTTATCACACGAAACGGCAGTGACGACAAGTCAGTTTATATGCTGACGTATAGTGCGAACAACTACGAAGCTTCCAATTATGGTGTTGGGTTTGCAACGGCAGAATCACCGCTAGGGCCGTTCAAGAAATCGTCTAAGAACCCTGTTCTTTCCCAAAAACCCGACGGAGAGTTCCCCATCTACTCAACTGGCCACGGAAGTATCGTGGCATCACCTCCTCCAGACATCAGAATCAAATTTGGCGCGCAAGATGTCACCAGGAAAAGTTTGGATGGTACGGAGCTTTTCTATGTGCATCATGCACGTAATGACACAACGAGGGACCGCTCTATCTTCACCACACGCATGAGCCTCAATGATTCGGCAATCTTCATTGGCTCTGACGATGCAATTAGCATGAGTCTAACACCGCTTGACCAAGCCCTCCCCAAAGACACATACCCGATCAGCTTCCAAGTTAGTTGCTCCAGAGACCGAAGCCCCGGTGCCCGGTTTGACGTTCGCGTCATGTCAAAAGCTGGGGCCTCATTTGATCTTATGGAGGGAACAAACAGAGTAGTTTCTCTTCCTGGTGCCGTTCAGGCAACCTCCATTGAACCCTCAAGACAGCGAGATGGTGGGTACGTTCTAAACTTCAACACCACGTCAGTGAGGGAGCTGGCATATCAACGACTGAGTGTCGACGGTAACTGGGCGACAGTTGAAAGCAAGGAGATCAGATGCAAAACAACGCAGCGGCGTTTTCTGAAGCAGTCGTGAAAAGCAACATCATGCATGAATCGAAAGATGAAGAACGCAAAGCAGCATTCATCGGAGGAGGAGGCCTGAGGCCTCCGTAACTTCGAGCCAGTATTTGATCGTCAAATTTCGAAGCACCTTACAGCCGTTCAAGTATGGCGAAGGCAATCAGAGAGATTATTGGCATAATTTTCCAAAGATAATGACGAATGATTTGCTTTTGCTCTTCGCTCTTGAAACATGTAAAACCTCATGCAATCTCAATGATTAAGACATATCTAATAAGGTACCTGATATTGTGAGTGACGTCTCTAGGTGCGGGTCGAAATCCATACTCCCAATGTGTACTGGGGGAGGCACTCCTTGCTGAAACGGTTTGTCCCGAATTTTTATGAACAGAGTAACTATAGGATTCAAGATAAATACTCTCAGTCATTTGATGTAGTGCGATATCGGGAAGAACGGGCGGGAGCAGTGTCCGGTGTCTCGTCAATCGTCATAACCCAAGTGAGGGCTCATGATGGATCTGTGATTTGAAGAAATCGCGTGAAATCTCTCTCAACAAACAATCTGAGATCCTCAGACAGACTTGTTCCTTTTTTACCAATCTTTGGGCACAGCATCAATGTACAGGCTGACAGGCCCCTGGCTGGTGCAGACCGTAGAGCCCAAAGGACCCGCGTGGCAGTACGTGGGGACATCTCTGTAGCCAGAGGCGCCGCTTCTGAACTCCAAGTCAGTGGATGATATAGAAGAAGATGAAATGAACCAGGGAAACTTACGCAACACCCCAGCGATGATAAATGCGAACACCCCAGGTGTCATAGACCCCCTTTACGAGGGCAAAGCTGTATTTGCTACTGCCGCAAGCATATTTTTCTCCAAGAAGAACCTCCCCGGTAAGCCCGCAATAGAGATTATCGGCATCATGAGCGGTAATGTGAAGGCCGACGCTGTCTACCGCTCCATCGGGCTGGTGTCGGGTAGAGAAGTCGAGGATCAAGACATCCTCCACCGGAGGGAAACCAGCCTGGGGAGCCGGGGTAGCCACAGCGACTGACGCGAGAGCGATGAGCGTAAGAGTTGCGAAGCGCATTGTGTCCTAGCTCCGTGTTAGTAGCTTTCGCGCTAAGTATTGTCGTTTGAACTAGGATTACACCTACAGAGCTTCGAATAAATTGTGGGAAGTTGCGGAAGTAGTGGAATGACAATGGTGTGATGTTTAGGATGAGTTGAGTGACGGGGAAATCGAGTCATTAAATATTCCCTTCGAACACATCATCAGCCTAGTCATGGACCATTATGCTCTTAAAAGGGAGACATCACAAGGGTAGAGACCCTCAACTGCAGTGACCGAATCTGCGATCAAAGACATGCAATTGCGGGCCTCGTTTTACGAGATGTTACATTCCGGGCCGTATCGTAGCCACAAGCACGCATCACAAGACCAGTGATAGTGAATCTGCACACCAAGGGAGAACGCAGGAAGCGGACTTCCATTGTGATGTGCCGCCTCGTATTGGGGCTTCCGCCACTCTTCACAAATCTGTTAATAGTATGAGCACTCCGGAACACCCGAAATATTCAGGATTCTATTTCAGACGAGCCAAAAAGAAGACGCGTGAAGGCTTGTCATAGCTAAGCGACGCTGACGACCCGTAGCTGCAATTTCAGATCTCAAACCCCAAGGTACTAGACTCCTAGTCTCTCTAGCTGTTACGCTGTTTTACGCAACCACGCCATGTCATATTTCTAAACATCAGGTCACAAAAGAAAGTAGTCGAAACAAAATTTCAAGCTTCCACATCTCCATGAGATGGATTATCGAAGATCGGGTAATGAAGCATTGCGAATACGAGCCCTATCCCCGGTTCTGGACTTACCTAGTCTGGTTGCATCAACTGGGCCACAAACTGCTGTTGCTTACTCAGGGCCACCTCAACGAAATGCAGCTTCGATAAATCTGGCAACGGAGAGCCACCCTAACTGCAAAATGAGCATAAACACGCTACGTAATATCGTTGGTGATGACTAGGAATGCTTCAAATCGGGGATCTTGCAGGTAAGACAAATAAGTCATCGTACACGACTGCTTGGCTTGGGACAATCACTGGATGACGTAACCGAGCGAATCCTTTCAGATCATGCCACGCTTAGCTCACACCTATCAATCATGTAAATACACGAAACATTTCAGCCCATTGCATTCATCGTGTGCTTATCTCTAAGGCTGGTTCAACTAACATGATAGTTCCTAAATAGGGAACACATCTAGATTTATGGCCTTAGCCAAAGAGAAAAGCTGGTTTTTCAGTCTCCAATTTTGAGTATATATTTCCGAGAGTAGTTATACTTTTGATGCGTCAAGTAAGATAAGCAGCTAGCTTCAGACTTGAAGCCCGGTAATACTCTTGGAGAACTGGACCATACTTGGAGAGCGTTAATTCCGATAAACCTTGAACGGAACCTAGCTCTGTGATTCTTCACCAATATCTTTCCGAAGTTGCTCCCTCATTTCTCATTCGCAAATGAAATGGCCTAGGACGCTAGTCTGTGAATAGGATTGAATTGTCTCTGGTTGTAGCGAGATACCATCATCATTATATAGACCTGATCAAGTTGCTGTTCTGATCTCGGAGCAATACGTATTCTTCACAACCTTTGATTGCACATGGAGATGCTTTTGCTGCTTATGGCAGCAACCCACTGTGGATGTTGCTGTTGTGAACGTGCGGAGGGCGAATGGGGGTGTAGCTTATCGGACATATTGGAACAACACAGACTTGAACATAGCCTCACGGGGAGGGACCATGTATCGCACATGGCAACCAACATCGAAATTGGGGGAAAATGAATTCCATGTCGGGCACACTTGCCGCTTTTTACACCTTATCGGACTGGCCTGCCTGCGGGGCCCGGGTTCTCTTGCCCACCTAGCTGGGTCTGCTCCGGCCCACTTTACTGAGGTATCCCAAAAGGGGTTGAAAGTGAACGACCACAACGCGGTTCCCGACATTCAAGGTGGACCAACATCGGCTTCTCTTGCGTTTGTTGATTCGCGCCCGAAGTTGATAGGTGAATCTTGACTTCAATCCAACAAGATCGCAAAGCTATTTCGTAGGATATTTGCCCATCTTTCGTCTAAAGTATGGGTGAATTCAGATACTGATCTGCGACTCTGACATGGCCCCTTGTGTGGGCATTTGACTCGGCTTTACTTAACGAAATAGAAAACATGGCTGTGAAGACCTAGACATCACCTCGATACTGTGTATAGAGAAACAGTATATAATAGCTCGACGTTCCCAGTCGAACTTATTTCCTTTCACTTCATCCAAATCGGTCAGACTAGATCAACCTCCAAGCCAGCCCGAACTTCTCAATACTGACGTGTATTCCAATCCTAGCTTATACTATCAATCATGGACGACAAAGGTGCTACACTCGACATGTCTCTGTTCTTTGGAACAGAGGAGCAGAAACGACAATTTTGCAACGAGCTACTTCGGTTGCTCAAGTCGCGAGGCGGCGTCAAGATTCAAAATCACAGTGTACCAACGGAGGATATCCACAAATTATTCGATATGGTAGGTTCGAACTAATATGGAGTAGATGATATGAAGGCTGACCATGACAATAGAGTCGAAAATTCTTTGCCTTGCCTCTGGAGGAAAAGATGAAAGCCAAGCACCCGCCTCAAGCCAATCCGAACAGAGGATATAGCTTTGTTGGTCAAGAGAATGTTGCAAATATCAGTGGCTACGAGAAGGGACTAGAGCCAGGCAAAACTCGCGATATAAAGGTACCCCATACTGCGAGACAGGTGATGCCATATGCTCAATTGACTAACATAGTTGCTAAGGAGACTCTGGACATGGGCAGTTCGCACGACGATCTTGTAGACAATCTTTGGGTACCTGAAGAGAGCCTTCCTGGATTCCGGAAGTTCATGGAATACTTCTATGAACAGGCTTACAAAACCGAACTGCATCTTCTCTCCGCTCTTGCGATTGCTCTTGGTGTTTCGGAAGACTACCTCAAGGCACTTCATAATCGTGCGGAGAACGAGTTTCGTCTTCTTCATTATCCGGCGATCCCGGCCATGGAGCTTGCGGACGGTACAGCGACGCGCATTGCCGAGCACACCGACTTTGGAACGATCACCATGCTTTTTCAAGATTCCGTGGGAGGTCTTCAAATCGAGGACCAGAACGAGCCTGGAGTATTCCGAAGCGTGGAATCCCTGGCACCCACCGACATCATCCTTAACATTGGCGACTCTCTTCAACGCCTGACTAATGACACATTCCGTGCTGCTTGCCATCGTGTCACGTATCCACCGGCAATCAAAGCTGGCGACAATGTTGAGATTCCCGAACGATACTCCATTGCGTATTTCGTCAAGCCGAATCGCCTTGCATCCCTGCTTCCCATGAAGGAGTTTGTCACCGAAGTTACCCCATGCCACTATGACGATGTTACTTCATGGGAGTGGAACAACCGGAGAATCGCGAAGCTATTTGGCTAGCTGTTGTCACAGTTAGGGTTGTTTGGACGATTATAGGCTCTACTTGGGAAACAGAGCAAGGCTGCTGAGATCTCAAGGATGCGGCCCTCTCGGGTGTGTGGAGCTCGTTTGACGTAGCCAATCCTGCGATAGCTTCGGGGTCACTTTCCAGTTTAGCCTAGACCCCACGGGAGAGTCACAAACAATATGGCCTATTTCCTATTATCCCATGTATTACTGTATCGTTAAGATTGTTTGAAATCTCAAACGCAAAGTAGCTGAACCTTAGTCCCAATTTTGTACGAAATGAGAAAATGATCACAACGGCCCGCGATTGTCTCTCGCATTTCATCGATCAATCTTCTTATCTTGACGAGCAGTGCAATTGCAATTGGAGCAGCAACTAACGAGAAGCATCGCACTTGTTTCCAGTCGCTCCCGCGGAAGCTTGCTCATATTACGCATGACCTAATTAGCCGGTGAAACCAAGGTATAAAATAGATAACCAAACACCACGGAATCCATGCTGTCCGTCTGTGTCCTACGCCGGAGGATATCGCCAAATTAACGTTTCCTTATTGCCGTTCCAACCTTTGCTATCTGCTTTCTGACAACAGCCGCTCGCGGTTCATCCTCTAGAGGTCGACGGCATGACCTGGTTCGTATAGTATTGATCGCATCATGCACACGTCGAGATCCAGGAGCGCACATTCTTTTGAAGGATGCAAGACATGCAGGAAACGTCACCTGAAATGCGACCAGACCACACCAAGGTGTAAACGATGTTGCATCTCAGGCTTAAAGTGCGATTATAGAGCGGTTCTTCGCTGGGTTCTAGTAAACGGTCCAGATGACTTAAGCACGGCTGTTCCTCCTGCAAACGAAGCTACGCAGTATTCTCGGCGTTACCTATATTCTGGTGAGTCTGAGGGCTGTTATGATCTCAACACGGATATAGTGAAGCTGACTAGGAAGGAGAACAGATGATCTGAGAAAGGTGATGAGTATTTCTCTCGTTGCGAGCTTGCCTTCTACTGTCAACGAAGCCATTTCCAAAATCGAGAACGAGGCCAAATCAGTGGAATCTAGGGAGGAAATGGAGATTGCTATTGGTCCTTTCAATGTGTTTCACGGAGTATATCAAGTTCCGGACGGAGAGTCTGAAGTCGGTCTAGGTGCGAAGACAAGCATCCCAGTGGTGGAGGAACGCGCTGTCGACAAATGCGACAACCTGTCTTTTCCGGAAGGCACCGTCTCACCATCGAATCTGGGCAAGTCTATGCGAGCCACTGATTTCGCAACGGCCGATGTCGCCGGAAGCTGCGATCTCATTCTGAATGATCTAACCGTGTCTGACGCTCTTGAAGAGCTTCTCTCGAGCTCTCTAGAAGTCCTTCAATGGGGGGACTTGTTCACCTGGAATGCCGAAGTGAACCATTCTCCCCTTCCGGGCTACTCCATTGACGAAGTTTCATGTTCCAACCATGGACCACACACTATCCTAGACGATTGGACAATCGGTGAAACGATCAACCAGCAGATGACGGAAACTCGAGGGTTCAGCAGTGTACGGCCTAGTGTCTTTCCAGAGCTGAACGATGATCTAGTTGCGGATGCTCCGATACTTTTGAAACACTTTTACGATGAAGTCATAAACCAAATGGGCTCGCTACCGATCAACGAGAAGTCTGCGTGGAGGATTTTGAATTTTCCTTCTGCCATCGTCACACTGAGCCAGCTTACTATCCTTAAACTACCCAGTCATGGTATTCGACACGCCAACTTGTCGAACCTTTATGCCCTCATCGCGGTATCCGCATTCCATCTTTCACTCAATTCAAAGAGCTTCCCAGAGATGAAGAAACCTGAAGGGTACTGGAAACGTCTATCTGAGAGGACATATGATTGTGCCAAGTTCCACCTGAAGCTCAGCTTGGAGGAGGAGTCTGCCACTCCAAAGAAAGCCAAGTACAAAGAACAACTGATGGCCGCCGCAGCTATTCTTGCAACCGCCGTAAGTGTTCTCTATCTATTCGATCTTCTGCTAATTCCGATTAGTTATTATCTGGTAACGAACAAGATACATGTCGATATCTTGTAGAAATGGAGAGGCTAATCCGTACTCGCGGGTTGCGAAAGTCAAAGCTATCACGTCGAGCACGACTGTTACACAACATTTACGCCTGGATGAGGATAGTCTCGGAAAGCACTAAAACTTTTCACGATGAAGCACCAGTACTCGATCCAATTGGCATCAACGATGGTTGGGTCACCGCTCAAGACCATGTTCCTGCGCACGATCAGTCTCAAGCTGGAATAGCGTCGTTCAGGCCAGCTATTTCAAGCGCAGAGCAACTGAGAAAGGTTTACCCAGAAATTACCCTGGATAACTTCCTCCACTTGGAACCACTCCAGCTTCATCCCGACACCACTTCCCACAATATCATCAACGATGACATGACGGATACCAACAAAGACATACATCTAGCAACTTCGATACAGGATCAGGAAGACATGTATATGCAGATATACGGAGTGCCCGAAACCTGGCTGAGACTTGTGTCCCAGATTACACGACTAGCTAATGTTATGGACCATCTTGCGCCAAATGAAAGCCAACTTGACGCCATCAAGATGGCAGCACTACAACCAAAGGCGTCCTATCTAGAAGAAGCTGTGTGTGCCTTCAAATCAAGATACCACGGACAGTACGAGCAAGATTTGAATACCGAGAAGCCTCACGTACATATGGTGCGGGCATTATGCCCGGCCTTGATGATTTTTTTCTATCGCAGGATCCGGAACATCAATCCCATGCTGCTTCAAGAAAGTGTCGATGAGGTGATGGAGGCGTTGGAAGGATTTGATGATGCTTTGAGTCGAAATGAGTTGCTCGGGCCAGGCACAGCTTGGCCAGCTTTCATTGCTGGTGCAGAAGCAACGAAACCAGAGAGGAGGGCGCAGTTCAGCTCTTGGCTAAACAGAGCCTACACTAAGTCAGGATGGAAAGGCTATTGTGTGTCGAGTGAAGTTTTGTGTGAGGTTTGGAGGCACCAGGATGCGGATGCAAACACGTTACGGAGCTCAACGTGGGTAGACATTTGCAGGGTGAACCGTCGCTGGCCGCTATTATGTTGAGCCAATGTGATCAATCGGCGACTATGGATGCATTGCCTAGAAGGAGACAGATGGATACAATAAAATTGCTCACGGCCTAGCCAACGTGAAGGCAATCCTTGAGAGATGTGCGAATAATCGAATGGTGTTGCATCAAATTAGGGTATTTATTCAATAGTCCACTACGGATCCACCTTATCAATATACATGAGTGACATATAGCATCCTCGTGAATCAGAATCTAGATTCTCTTCTCGTGCAGCTCACTAATGTTCCTGTTGAGGTCGTCATCGTCGAGCTTCTTGGCGCTGGTATCGCCTCCGGTCAACTCGAATACTTTACGATGAGATGCGTTAGCAGGTTCAACTGTAGGCAAGCCATGAAGGGAGGATTTTGAAGTCTAAGTGAAATGAAAATATGAGAAAAGTTTGACCTACAATCAACGGGTGTGGTCGCGAATTGGCGAGCCGGAGTCCTCTTCTGGAACAAGTAGTCCAGCTCTGCGAATGTGCGGTTCTTCGTCTCAGGGAGGAAGAAGAAGATCAGTACAGCCCAAAGGCAGCAAAGTCCGAAGTAGAACAAGCCAGTCTTCGCACCCCAGTTCCAAGAGTCACTGCTAGAGTTGAGCATGCGAGGGTTGAGCTGCTGTACGACAATTTGGCCCACGACGTAGATAGCGCGTCCGAGAACAATGGTCTGAGCACGCACACGACTGGAGGACATTTCGCCCACAATAGTGTATGTTGTCGGGCCCAGCGACAGTTTGAACGTCAGGTTAACAATGATCATGACGACAGCCACAGCCAGAGCAACATTGGTCTTCCCTGGAATGAAGCCTAGGATGCCAATGACGAGCATGAGGAGACCGATGATTGAGGAACCCCAGAAGAAGAAGACGCGACGCCCGACTCTGCCCATTAGGGAAATGGCAATGGCGGTGCCCACAATATTGCCTGACTGGATACCCATGCTGAAGTCAAATGCTCGGACCTCTGGCATACCGGCTGATTGCAAGAAGATGGTAGCGTAGGCGCAGATGGCCTGGCCATTGAGAATCTGAATAAGCCAGGCCATGGCCACGATGCCTGTGCGGCGCAAGTTGGTTCCATGGAAACAGTCGCGGTAACTGGCGCCAGCTGACTCGATCTTTTCCATTTCGTTAGTGTGTCTCATGAGAGCCAATGTTTGAGCCATGGTCTGCTCAGTATAGAAGTTCTTGCGTGCAAGACGACGTAGCGACTTCTCGGCTTCTTCGATGCGACCACGGCGAACAAGGTACCATGGACTTTCCGGGGCAAAGAAGCCAACAGTGAATAGAGGCACCACCCAAACCCATTGGAGAGCGTAAGGAATCTTCCACGCCAAGTCTCCCTGAAGTCCCAGTGAACCACGGAGAACACCGGCGGCAAGGAAGGAGCCACATCCCCAACACATGGAAACCCATGCGGTGAGGTATCCTCGCATAGCAGCAGGGCAAATCTCGGCGGCGTATGCGGTGGTCAGAGTCTGAAAGATACCCCAGGGAATGCCGCACAGGATATTGGCGGCGAAAAGCATTTGGACGTTGACTGCGAAGAACAGTGAAAAGATTGTCCCGCCCATGAGTGCCATGGCACCCATGTAGACTCGTCGGGAGCCATAGCGAGACTGAAGCCAGCCGTTCAGAAGCAGTCCGATGATGCTTCCCAAATTGTTGCCATTGCCGATGGCAGCCTGCCATGATGTCGGGATGTGTTGCTTGCCATTGGCATCTGGCCAACCGAACCTCCTCAAATACGCCTTTTGTCCAAAGAAGTTGTTGACGAGACCAACGTCCATGCCCTCCATGATTAGGGCCATACTCAGGAGCATGCTGTAAATGGCAGCTGGCAGATATCGTGATATGAGCTCCTTGCGGGGCAGCCTCGTCTCTTCCTCGCTGGCGGCCGCGGCAGCTTGGATCAGAGCAATATCGGGAGTGTATGTGCCGTATTCTGCATGATCGACGGACCCGGACCGGGCCTTGGCCAAAGTCTCAGGCAGTCCCTTTTCGTTGTCGGCCATCTTGACACTCTACTTGTCTATGCTGAGGATTTGTGTAAAGATGACAGCGGGAGGTGATATTGGTAGGCAAGGCAGGAAGCTTGCCGGGAAACAGAGGAGCGGAACACGGGGAAGATAAGCACTTGCGTATTTGCAGGTATGAGTACCATTGTCCGGACCGGCTCCCCTGGTTGCCAAGATGCCAAGGAGTGTCCTCCAACCACCTGCCCCCAATGCTGGGGTTATTCGCGCAAGTTCAACCCCGAGTCTGGATTGCGTGAACTCAATTTCCCCACACGGTCCCCATGGGGTTTATAACCGTCTCTTTGGGGAATGCGTAAACGAAGCGGGGAAAGAGCACAATATCCTGGGGTATCTTTCGACCGAGGCCATGAAAAAATGGCTAGAGGAGGAGCTCCTTTGAGCCGGTGGATCAGGTGCCTCATTGATCCAGAAGAATTGGCCAGGATCTTGACCTCTCGTTCCAGTCTGTCTTCAATACGGTGTGGTGCAGCTTGCGCGTGTCTGGACGAACCACTGCATGCTTATGCACTGCAACCCAAAAGCTGATTGTACAATGGCGCCCGTGTCTCGCCTGCATGCAGCAGCTTAACAAAAGGATCAGAGTGCAGACGTTGTAGTTCACGAAAAGCGATTCAAGCATCGTACTGTTCTGAGCGACGTCTTTGTGTAGGGAACTCTGAATCCTAGGTCGGTAGTACTCTTCATACATGAGCTCTGCTGCGAATGGTGAGGGTACATACCCAAAGTCATTTGATGTCGGTTCGTCTTGAGATTCAGCGAATCCAATTCTGTTTTCTCTCTGTCGGGCCTGCCCAGCGCACTGCCCAGGTTGTCTTGGCTTCTTGGCTCCCAAGCCGCTTGCGCCGCAGCTGCAATTTCATATCGGACTCACTCACTTAATATGGATTAGCCCACGTCTGTCGCTGCCTGATAGCCCGGTATCATTGCAGAAACACCCGAAGGAGTTGTATATTTGGCAAAGTAGCGACATATTCTGCATGCGGCGTCTTCAATCAAGCCTGTGCTGGGTCGGTTAGACACGAAGTGGAATTAAAGTCAATGTTGCGCAGCAACAAAGGGCGGGCAACGACTGACTGAACTGTTACTGCTATGCGACTCTATTGGCCTGATGCGCCCTCCGCCTGGGGACTTTTGCTGGGGTAACGCGGGGGTGGAGGTGACACTTCCGATCCGAAGTTCTGGTTCATTCCCCGCTTTTTCTGACGGTGACTGCAACCTGTTATCCGCGCGCTGGCATATGGTCTGAGCAGACCGTGACACTTTGTCATTTCATTAGGTACCTTACTCGGACACAGCCGATTCAGCAATATCTGTGTCCTCTACATGCGTGACAGCACCGAAGCAGCTGTGACACTTGATTCTGCTCTCACAAAGGTCCTCATTGTTAGTCGGATGTAGACACTAAACCGAGGTACTTACGCAAGTTGGAGATGACGAGGAATCCCTCGGGTTCCATTTGTCAGGTCAAGGCACACCTCGGTCGACTTAGGCCGAAGGCCAAGACAAAACATAGTTTGCCCAGCCTTGGTAAACGCCACCAAATATTCATTCCACCACTCAGGTAGGTTTCCCTGAGGGCTAAGGTATGTGGCACGCACACTCAAGTCTCAATGGAAGAGCATCTGGGGTTTTGGATGTATACCAGAATCGAAAGACAGTGTGTGGTTCCTGCTTCAATCCTGGGAAGTGTGTTCTCTTCGGTAAGCCTGGAATTGTCTACTTCAAAAACCTCTACGCCATCGCACATCCTGCACAGCAAGTCGAAAGGGGCTCGTGGCGCTCGACTTCCCAACGACCCTCACAATGCATAAGTGCCTCGGTGGCATATTACTCCAGTAGTAGAATGTCCATAGTTGAACCACCACCCTGAAAACGTGCACGGAAAATTTATTAGGTCAAATTTAATGAGCAATCATATCTACGTATGAAGACAATGTGTAGAGAGCAGCCGATTTCGTGAATGCGGACTGACAGCCGGGGTGATGGGAAGTTTTCCTATGGATTGACCATCTAGCTTCTCGACCAGTTAATCTGCAAAAGGACATCGATCAAGTTCTCTGATGGGGAATCATTAGAGACTCAGGCCTCGACCCGGTCTAAAATGTTTCAAAGCGGCGTGGTGATAGGGGATAAAAGACGGACCTGCTGAGAAACATCACTCTCTTTACCACCTAATATAAAGTAAGCAAAGAAAATACTTCATGCATGGTTGCTAAGATCGGGCAAATTCATGTTATCTACCGGAGACCCTACTAACATTGCATTCATAATTTCCCATCGGGTGCCTTGGGAACTTGGGGAGCAGCCCGCGTCATCGAAACGAACCAAAGAGAACATGAAATTGACCCTTTTGGTTAAGGATACTAAGTTCAGACTTGTAATTTTTCGATCCTGGAGATGATTGTGAAGATGCCTAGTGCGATTTATTACAAAGCAAGAATGAAGTAGGAGCCATCTATGCAGAAAGTGGCTTGATTCTTTGTAGTAAGGGGCAGTAACGCGCAGCGTTACGGGTAGCGCTGGGAGATGACCTACTTACTCAAAATACTATGACTGCTGAATCAAGAACCCGTCAAGAATCAACAAAAACTCAACAAAGGGACCAATCAGTATAGTGTTTGGTTCAGGACTGTGATGCGAATGTTGATTGCTTTCTCTTTGGTACTTAACTAGGTATGCAACCGATTTGTGTTGCAAAGCAGACTTCCAGCATATGCCACGTCGAGACTGTCTCAGATCCAGACACACAACGGAACATATCATTTCGACCCAATTCCAGGCTGAGGGCCAATTCTGTTGTCGCACGGGAAGCCTCCTTCTGATAGTTCACTTCTCTTCTTTCTTGTTGATATATACCACCACGCACGAGTGCTCCGTCGCATTAAGACTGATTGAATGGTAGATACCACGAGCCAGGTGTTTAGTCACCTGCGTGAAGACATGGTGAACGTGTCCCTCGGCGCCGATGCGCAGGTTGTGAAAGTCCGAGTCGCCGATCGTGTTTGTGTTAATGAAGTCAACATTAAATTTGCTAATATTTGCCTGCTCGACAGTTTGATGCGGGGTCGGCCAAGAAGCCGGGTTAGTTGAGGGGTCAATCGAATAATCAGCTGGAGCTGCCATGTTGAGCGGGGGTGGTGACGCAGTCCAAAAAGATGTTTTTTCGTTGGGGGTTTCCGGAAATGCAGTTTCGAATGTATTGAGGGAGAAAATATGCCGATGTTGCACTTTTATATGCGTCCTTTGTCTTAGTAAGGCAGTGACGTGATGACCATATTGGAGTTTTGGTCATAGTTGACTTGGTCTCCCGAGTCTTGACTGGTCAGCCGTACATGGATTGGTTGTTGGAAGAGACTTTTTGTAGGCCTGTCTCTTTCAGTGGCTTCGACACACTCTTTTGATTTCTGGATAGAGTGAGAGAGCGCCGCAAAAGCCGAAAGGATAGGATCCGGCGATATTCTACGAAGGTCATAGTCTATTCACTACCTCATCCATTCATTCTCAGCTTCAGTTTAATTGCCATGGTATTTACGTCAGCATGCGATCGGACTTTTGGTGGTAAGGGCCACTATCGCGTCTGTGACTTCTGCGTATGGAGAAGGAAAGAGGACGGAGTAGTAGAAGCCCAAAAGGACCGCTAGGTAAAGGTTTGGAGTGGAATGGCCGCTTGTTTGGTCCTGACTGTCTTCTATATCCACCCCTTGTACCGAGTGCTCGAAATTCAACTGATAGAATGTGGGAGCCCAGAGTGCTACGCTACTGACAATAGGTGATGAGTATCCCCCTCTTCCCAAGTTTATGAACTACGGCTAGTGTCACTGCGAGTGCCAGTATCATGGAATATCAAATGATGCGAGAAGGCGGGCAGCCGAAACTGGCAGCTGCTTAATGCCAGTGGTGAGAGTTGGGGTGGTATGAAATACGGCCAGGAAGTCTGTGCCGGTGGGAGGCTGGAGTGCTTGCACCTAGACCATCGCTAAAATCAGGAAATACAAGAGGACGGACGCCGAGTCCAGCTCCCATTTTCATGTTTCCTTGAATTTAGGTGCGGAGGAGACCGGGAAATTCTGTTCCATTACTTGACCATTTGGATCGTATCTGCTTAATAAGACTGGTATTTGAACCCCAAATATTCTCTTGTATTAAAGATTCTTTATTCGGCGTCGATGTGTCAAGTTGATGGGTTCTAAGTTGGCAGACCAAACTTGCATCCACTCGGTGCCTGTTATCGCGAGACATAGCCTCGCAAATCACATTCGTGCAAAGCTAACCGAACTATCTTCTCTGCTGAGTATGATAAAGGAGGCTCCGAAGGTCTCGCGAGCTAGGACATAATGGTCGTTACAACCGCCCGTCGGAACGAGCAATGGCCTACTCTCGAGATAGAAACGGAAGGTCGAATTGCTGTTGGTGGTTACTCCCAACCTAAGGAGGACGTATCTCCACAATTGTTTGCCGAGAATTCCACGATCTCAGAGTATTGAAAGCGGTGCGGAAACGTTCTCCCTTATTGACTTATGGTCGAATCGCACTGGAAGGTCAGGGTTGGACAGTGCCAACAGAACTTAAGAGATAAGTCTGAAAGTGACAGACTGATGTTAATGGGTTAGAATTCAAAAAATGGCTGTCGTCGAATCCAAACCCGTACTGATCGGGCACTATTATAAATGTGTTATGTTGGTGAATGGAGGGGACAATTGTAAAAAGTAGCTGGACTCGCGGCTTGGAGTTTACAAGGAGAAAACCTATATGAGCGACTCAACGGCACCAAGCCGACTCGAAATCCCTAAAAGACCTTGCTACGAAAGAAGAAACACGACGGCTACTTGTACGCTCAGAGAAAAAGCGATGTCAGAATTCAAAACGGTGTTGCAGAGGGGTAAGTCTGGCCATGCTCATTTTGGTACTAATGATAAAGGGAAGAGTCGATAGCATGACTATTCCCAGAATACACTATTGAAGTAGCTTTAGCAAGAACGTCTAAGTACTTCACAACAAATGAAAGATGAGCCTACACTTTATTTTAATTGTTCATGGGAGCTATGAACGACATATCGTTCAGCCTACGGTATCCATCCCAAGAAATAAATTCTAGGCCTAGATTGATAAGCTAACATGATACTGTCTTCTATGATCAATACCACAACCGCTCCTTAGATTATTATTTATGAGAAGATAAAGCCGTGATTTGGTATATGCCTAGTAAAGGCAAGGTGGATTAGGTTCAACTCGTCGGGGAGGGTTGAGGGGTTCTGTAGGGTCACCTCGGCCTTGCTTGCTATTGCCGTCGCGCGCGGAAGTTTCGACCCTTGCTAAGGGACCGGACGTATGAAACCCTTAACGAGGTTTGCTATCAAGTGAGTTGGAATACTAGACACTGCTGTTGTGATGTCATACGTCTTCGTGCATATATGTTCCTGGTTTAATTACTATATGTTAACGCGGCTAAGGAGTCCACATCCCTGGCCGTTTTCTTCGTCTAGCAGAGAAGTTAAGACAAGCGAACATTATGTTAGCAAGCAAGGGGGCGGCGGCCTTGATATACCTGACTCGCAGAAGGCAATTGAAGGGTGTGTGTGCAAGTGTGGTGAAAGTGACATACACAGATGCGAACACAATGAATGCAGACTGAGCATCTTTAGGGCACTTGGGGCGTAGAGGTCGGGACATATTGTTTCGTCTGGTGTCGTGATGTATTGGAATATTGAATGATTTCGACTATGAAGTGCATATAACGCAATAGCGTTCAAGTTGTTCTCACTAACAAAGAGTTGATATGCGCTTGTTCGCTGGCTTCAAGATATGGATGCATCGGAATACTGATCACTTCGCGACAAGCGCTCTCGGCTGCAGGGCAGTGACCTTTCGCGACCGGAAAGTTCCGATAGGCAGCCTGCTGATGGACAGGAATGGGATAGTAAACGACGGATTCAATGCTGTTCTGATGCAGCCGCGCTCGAATATGCGACCGTTTCACGTCAGTCATTCGAATCGTGTAAGCTGCCCACGCCGAGACGGTCCCGTCGAGTGGCAGAGCGGCTGGCCGACAGAGAGTTGAATTCGACCCATTGTTGTCGTCGACTTCGTTTAGGAGCAGGCTGGTATAACGAGACGCTACCACTTGTCTCAAAGCTATCTCGTCAGCTAGGATATCGAGCTTGCAAAGGAGAATCGCTGCCTGTATGGTGTCGAGTCGGCTATTGACTCCTATGTGGACATTTTCATATTTCTCTTTCTCGTCTCGCCCATGGAGGCGCAAAGACCGGAGCATAGAAGCAGTCTTCGGGTTGTTGGTTAATACTGCTCCACCGTCTCCCCAGCAGCCCAAGGGGTTGGAAGGGAAGAAACTGGTCGTGGTAATATCGGCCAATGTGCCAACTTTCGCCCCGTTAACACTTGCTCCAAAGCTCTGGGCAGCGTCGGCGATAATCCATAGACACTCGTCCTCTAACTCAGCCATGGCAGAACGGATACCGTTGTAATTCGCGGGTGTCCCGAACAAATCCACAGCAATGACACCGACAGGCCTAAGACCGGCCTTTCGTGCAGTGGCAACACCTGCGCCAATTTGAGCCGGATTCATGGTCAATGTCTGTGATTCCACATCCACGATTACTGGAACAGCGCCAAGCAAAACCACTGGCTCCACAGAAGATATGAAGGTTAGTGCTGGCACGAGAACTGCATCTCCAGGACCAACTCCAAGGGCTAACATTGCCAATGTCAAGGCGTCGGTGCCGCTTGCACAGGTGACTGCGTTCGTAGCTCCTATCAAAGCACATAGTCTTTCTTCGAGTTCGTACACCTCGGGTCCCATGATGAATTTCATGTGATTGAAGACTTGGGACATCCTCCGTTCAAGGGGCTGTTGGATTCGGCGCATCTGAGACTGGAGATCAATGATGGAGATTTTGACAATCTTTTCTGGCAATGTCGGACGTGGGATTTCTTTGAGGACCTCTGCCTTCGGATATAGATGTAATCCGGCAGTCAAGGCGCTCGGTTGTCGAAGGGATACCCGCATTCGTAGCTGATTTTCAACGGCTTCGAGTACGCTAACAACGGCTATGCCCTCGGCCAAATCAGTCTTTGGGACTTTGCCGGTACCAACGCACTCAAGAAAGTGTTGGCATTCAATGACGAGCGGCTCGAGCTTCTCCAGAGCTACAACCTCCATTCGGCCGTCTGGTGCCTCAGGATGACCGCTCGTCCAGTCGATCTTGTTCTTGAACAGACGAAGCTTAGACTCCCATGGCTCTGTATCGTCAAAAACAGCTGTTGCTTCCTCTCCGATCACCGCCATCTTTCGTTTCTTATGAGGGTTCAACCATGACACGTGGACTTCAGCGCTCACCCCATTAGAGAGCTTGAAATGGGCGTTGACCGTGTCCAAGATAGTGGTGCCTGGGCGTAACAGACTTTCCCCGTAAGTCTGAACAACTGCAGCCTCGACGTTGTCGGAGAAACCTAGAATCATGGATATATCATGAGGGGCTAGGCTCCAAAAAACGTTTTCATCATGACGAATTCTCCCGAAGGCAAGCCGACGCGACTGAATGTGCAAAACCTTTCCTAGAACTCCCAACTTCACAAGGGCCCTGAGCTCTTGATAGGCTGGATGGTAGCGAAAGGTATGACCGACCATAGCTATTCTTTGTATCTGATGAGCCACTGCTTGTACTCGCTTGCTCTCCAAAACAGCTAGAGCTAAAGGCTTTTCAATGAAGACGTGTTTTCCAGCAGTCAAAACTTCGACAGCCATATCTGCATGACAAGTTGCAGGCGTTGCAATCACAATTGCGGTGATAGACGGATCAGCTAAAATACTGGCCCAGTCGCGAGTTGGTATGAGGTGGTTATGGGTAGCTCGTACGAGTTCCGCAGCATCATTGGCTCTGGCCTGATTGACGTCAAAGACAGCGCTCAGTGTCCCAGAGTCGGCGAAGACTCGGATGAGATTCGAGCCCCATTGGCCGCAGCCGATCACAGCTACACTAGAGCAATCTGACCTAGCTGGTGATTGAAGATAGAAAAGTTTTCGCTGAAGATGATGTGGCTGCGTCTTAGTAAATTATAGTACGAAATTGCATTAAGGAGCGGGACTAAGTCTCGAGAAGGTGTTT